AGCAGGTGTTTCTCTGCAATGTGGGCTGCGCATTGGAGTAAATGCCAGAAATCTGGATCTGTCCAAGTTAAACAGGAGCACACTTGCCCTTGCTGTGTGGGGTGTGGCTGGGTAATAGGGTGCACAGGTGAAATCATGGTGCCCCTGTTTCTGCTCAGTGAGGCATCTGTCAGCTGTGAGGACTTTAGGTGAGAAGGTATTTATTCTGTTTACTGAAATTGAAAGCCTGCCACACACTGCCACAGGTTTCAGGCAAAGCTGGGCCACAGAAAGACTGAGAGATGAGATGATAGGGGCAGGTTAGGCAGGCCTTTTAAACAAACATTGGCAGCAGAGCCCAACCTGAAGGTGTACTTGGGTTGAATTATGTAACACCCACCCCTAGCACGAGTGGCTGTTTAGGACGCTCTTCCTTCCTTCTTCAAAGAGGCAGACAAGTGCTAATAGTTTCTGAAACTTGGCCATGGTCACTAAGCTAGTTATGGGTTTGCAGAATGCCCGGTTGTCATTGGCGATCTCCTCTCTCACTTGCTGTGCCACGATGCAGGTTTCTCTGCTTTTCACAGCATTATTCAGCGCTGCTCTGGCTTCCTATTAAGAGGTTTAGAGTGGGACATGTATCTTTCCACCCAGACCCAGTCAAGCCTCATGCACATGAGTGGGCCGAGCCCTGATTGGAGCAGTGACCACTCTCTTCTCACTGTTTAGGGAGTTTTCAAATCCTCTGGGAGAAGCAACCAGGAGCTGAGATTAGCGACCATAATAGGTTCAGTATGATTTACTGTGCATCAATCTGGAGACTTAATTGTACTGAAAGAAGGTTCTCCAAGGATGGTCCCTGATACAGCAGCAGCTGGGACCTCGTTAGAAATGCAAATCCTCCAGCTCTGCCCAGACCTACTGAATTAGAGACTCAGAGCCTGGGGCTCAGCAATCTATATTTTAACAAGCCCTTGAGGTGGTTCCGATTCACGCTAAACAGATTTCCTTCTGGAGCTTGTGCTCTGCCATTCCCAGCAAACTCTTTTGTCATTCTCAGCACAGGCTGGGCCTGGACAGAGAGAGGAGGCCCGGATGGTGTATCCCTCACATCTGCAGGTGTGAGAGCTCCTAAGTGGAGGCAGAAGAAGGACATTCTTCAGGGATGAGGCACACTTGTGCTGGGAGTGTTCTGCATGCGGTGAGATGAATCCTTTGTGCTTCTGGTTCTGAGCTCCTGGGTCACAGCTCCTAGATCTTAGTTCCTTGCTGCCTGTCTGGTCCCAGCCTCTTTCCCCCGCTTTCAGCCTGCTGCCTTGGGAACAGTTGTCCAGACCTCAGATGTATGTGATTCTGATCATTAGCACCTTGTACTTGGGATCCTTGCCTTGTAAATCTCTTTGTTCTCTCCAAGTTCAGGCAAAAGGAGGGGCAGGAAGCTTGGAGGAGTTCTCCTTTCAGCCTGCTGCCTGCTCTAAGTAGAACAAAGCTGGAGAGTGGGGAAGGCGCTTTGATCCCAGACAATGAGAGCTGCTGGATTAAGTGTTTGGAGGGACCAGACAGCTCTGGCACAAAACAGATCAGTTACTTCTCTTTATTCTTCTATTTCTTTTTTTTCCAGACCTAATTCATGTACTGGAAACAACCAGGAAAAAAAAAGTATAAGGTTTTGAAGGAGGTTTTTTTTTAGCTCTAAGTCTTAGCTATAACTTGAAGCATGTGTGGGTGGGTGTCCCACACAGGCTCCTGGCTCTGCCCTGGGGCCGGAGGTCGCCCTGACATGGGGTCTGACTTTCCCAAGGGACTCTGAGGCCACAGTGTGGCAGCTGGGATTGAAAAATGCTGCAGTTAGAAGGGACTGTGGGAAATTGGCTTGTGTAGTCAATCTAGCTGCAAGGCAAAGAGAAATCTGAGTTTAAAAATAAACATATTAAAATAGACATTTCTGCACAGAGCTCCTACTAAGTGCTTTACGTATCAACTCATGAAACTTTCAGTACACCCTCTAGGGTCTCCGCTTATGTGGCTCAGTGATCATTGTAATAAGACCCATGAGGTGGGGATTGTTGTAATCCCCACATTACAAATGATAGATACCAATGCACAGAGAAACTGTTAAGTCACCAGGTTACAAGCTAAGTAAGTGGCAGAAAGGATACAATTCCATTCACTCTGGTTCCAGACCCATGTTCCTCACTATAGCACTAGATCTCTGCTCATAAAGATCCTAATCCATCTGAGGGAGGGAGCGGATGGCCTAGCACAGTGGTGGTGAACCAATGGCACGCATGCTGCAGCAGACACACAGAGCCCTCTGTTGGCACGCAAGCCAAGTCATTCTGGTGAGACTGATCGCCCCAGCAATGCCCCAGCAGCCAAGCATTCAGGTTTAACTGTAGTGCTGGCACTTTGTGATAAATAAGTGGGTTTTGCATTGCAGTCTGGGTATTTATTCTCCAAAAGGCTTACCATCACTGGCCTAGGGAAAGCCCATTCTCAGTGCTTAGGACACTGTCCCTAACATTGTGCTGTTATTTATAAAGATAAACTCTGCACAGAGAGACAAAGGTTGACTGGCTGGGCACAGTGTGGTGGAACTCAGAGGAAGCAACCTGGAGCTCAGAGCTGCCAGTGACCAGGCAGAGGCAGCCTTTGCTCACAGAAGAGAGGAGGTTTGACCTCAATGTCTAGAAACACAAAGTGAGAAAAGGGAGGAAGGTCTGACAGGCCTGGACACGTAATGTGCACAGACATCAGAACTAGACTACACTGACAAAAATGAGGAGGCTTAGAGGATGCTTTGGCATCTCAGAGTTACAGCCCAGGCTTCTGTAGCCCCATTGTCCTAGAACCCGCTGGGTTTCTACTGCATCACAGTGATGAGAGTAGAAGCAGAGAGCCACAGCTCTGCAAAGGCCCCCGGCGTATGTATGAGGCTGAGTAAAGTTAGACCTGGAAAACAGAAGCCCATCATGGGGCTTTGGACCATTTTCCCACCCTTGCATTTCTTACACCTTTATAACTTCAGGCAACTTGAGTTTTTAAGAATTTTCTGAATGCGTATTGACCAGCAGAGCTCTGACCTTGCATCTTGTTTTGCTAATTAGCTTTCCACACTTCTGCCTCTCCCATCCTTGTGCCCAGGCCTTTCCTCAGCCAGAGGTCAGTTTAGGTGTCTGAGAAAGCCTCCTGTGCTTCTCTCAGGTCAGAGCAGCCCCCTCCTTCTTTTACTTCCCTGTGGCAGTGATGGCCACTGGGTGGATGGTGAGCATGGGTAGGCAAGCTCCCTGTTTAATCTGGGGTTTCCAGTGCCTGGCAAGCAACCTAGTCATGGTGATAAGCAGTACGTATTTGATGCTATAATAATGAACTACAACAAAATGAAACTATAATAATGACTGCATTAGGAACTACTTGTCTGGGCACCCAATAATGGTTGTAATTTTTTTGTTTTTGGTTGGACAGTTGTGTTCTAAAAGATGAATTCCTGGGAGGAATTATTCCTGAGAGCATATATACGCATTAACTCAGGGACAGGAAGGTCCTTGGTAGTAAGAAATCAGCAGTGGTCCATGTCAGCATGATGGATAGAGAACTGATCTCCAATAATGTCTCCGTGACAATTGAATATGGCTTGGTGTTGTGTTTTGGGGTTCAGGGCAAGCTGCCCTCAAATGTGGCACCTTTGTATTTAGAAAAACAGCAGAAGCAGGAAGGTCATTCTTAACCTTCCCCTTCTCTCCTGAAGCAGGTCATAAGACCTTTATTAGAAAGACACCCTTCCTGTAACTTGAGGAAAAGGACATCTTTATCTCTGAAGGCACTGGGACATTTAAATCTAAATCCACAGGCCCTGCTAAGTTCCCCCATGTTAGTGTTGCTAAAGCATAGCCCTTTGTTCTGTCACGTTTGCTTAAAACTTTCAACTTCTTCATCAAACTCAGCATAAAAATATATAGGTTTCACTGTTTCTCTGGGCCTTTGTGTCTAAAGGCTCCTGTGTCACTTAAAACTTACGTTAAATAATCTGTATGCTTTTTCTGGTTAATCTGTCTTTTGTTATAGGCACCTCAGCTATGAAGTTATGATGGGAAGAAGCTATTTATTCTCCTTTGTAGTACATTCTTTGGCATCTGATGAGGCAACATGCAGAATATGGTCCTAAAACAACTACAAAAGGCCTCGATTCAGCTGTGCTCTTGAATTCCAAAAGCCTGATATGCCTGTGATTTTTTTCCTTGGTGCCAAATCAGCTTTGCTTATCGACTGCTATTTTAATGAAACCTCCTGGTACCAGCTCAGGAAGGATATTTTTATTAGATACGACTGGGCGGATTCTCATGTTGAAAGCATTTGGTGTAAAACATGAACGCATCCAGTCCTCAGATATCCTTCCAAATATTTCCTTTGAAATCGGAAAATTACCAAGGAACTTGTGATAAGAAGATGAAAAAAGGAATTTAAAAAAACAAGGATGACGTGCTTTTCTTTCCCTCACCATCCTGCATGGGTGGGACTTTTGGCATATGGAAATCAGAAGAACTGAATGAGATGGGAGAGACCTGGAGTGGGGCAATCCGGCCCTGGGTGAGGCCAGGAGGGGCCAGGAAGGTGCTCGATGCTTATTATACCTTCTAGGGTCCCACACAATCACCTGTGAACCTTAAAGTTTCCACATGCATCTGGCTTCTCTGAATTCACACCACCACTGACGTCAGTGGGATCTCTCCTCAGTCAGACAGGTTGCTGCCAATATCCAACAGGACTGCATGATCTAACAGAGGAGGCACAGGGCTCAGATGAAGAGGGATTTAAGTCCTCCACAGGTGACCTTATTTCCTAAACAGAACTACTTTACAGTTGAATGTCAGAGGACATCAAACACAGACAATAATAGCAAGACATCTAAGTCCAGAATTCCTGCTGCTTAACCAAAGTGCCCAAGATGGCTCCTAATTTTTACTAAATCCCATTGTAAGCCTTTCCACCATCATCTCAGTTTCATTCTCTCCATTTCACAGATGAGAAGATGATGCTCAGAGGAATTTGCAGCCTATGAGAGGACCTCAGGTATGTTGAAGGGAAGAAATAACAGCATGTTTCAGAGAAGAAAAAAAGGCAACTTCTATACTCCTATTAGATTCACCAGCTGGACATAGGGGGAATTAATTTCATTCCCACCTACAGGAAAATCAAAGTGACTTTTTTTGCCTTGACTTGGAAGTAAGACTTTTTCATGTCCTTAGGATAACCCTGGATATTGGTATAGGAGCTAAGGTGTGTTTTGGAAATGAAACCTACTTAGGACTAACAGCGGTTCCCTGAAACCTATGGGCACCTACCTGTGCGTCAAGCTCCCAGACATGGCTGGTCATGCCCTGGCCCCTACTTAATTCTCTGGGACCACATCTTCCTCCTGCTTCTGTGGCTGTAAATGTCTTCCTCTGAACCATGCCTCTTGGCCCAACTCTTTTAAAGACATGGGAAATATTGGAAATTCTTACATTCTGAACTCTCACAGTGCCCTTTTGGCCAGGTACTCTCTGAGTTCAGTGTCCTTTTATGAATTCTACCCAAGATCCATTTTTTAAAAGGACCTGACTCATTACTTGGTTCTGTTGTCTCTTTGGTTTGCTCTCAGCTTTTTTCTGGGACCTCAGCTTTGGTAGTCCTTACCTTTCCTGACTCTATTTTAAAACTCTGACTTCTGTGGTCAGGACACATCTATCTGTGGACTGGTGCAAGCTAGGAGGGTACTCCCAACTTAGGAACCCTCATTATTTTCCTCTCCTGACAGGGTTATTCAGATGCTGACCTTAGGTCAAGATACCAGAAAGTCTCTCTTTTACTTGGTAACGTGAATAGTGAGAAATCTGTTTAATCTTTCATGCCAACTTCAATTCTTCAGCCATGTGGATGGGTAGAGTTGCAGCTAGTTCTAGGACACAGCTTTGGGAAGTCCAAAGGATTTCCCCAGATTTTTTTGCGGGGGGAGATTTTCAAGAGATTTGGTCTCATGACATCACAAAAGAATTATTTTTAGGAGCAAATGCATGCAAAAGTCTGCTGGGATTGTAAAGATTTTTTTCTACTCAAACACAAATACATTTTTTGTTCTGACTCTCATAAAAACCAACAACAAAACCCAGAAGGTGGATATTTTTAACCCCATTTTACAGATGAAAAAATTGGTACAATATTAAGGTTTTTTAAGGTGTTTCCTTCTTTCATTTAGCAAAATCGCTGGCAGATTAATTATTTAAATCTGGGTACGTACAACTCCAGGCCCATATTCTTTCAACTAATTTAAAGTGAAATTGGGCCTTCAGATTAAAATACCACTCTAATTGTGTAACTGACATAGGTTTTATAATGTTGTCTTTATGTCACTGTTATAGATTAATTCCAGTCTCCTGAGTGGTATTGTAATTTGTACAAGGTAACTACAATTTCCACCTATTTAGTCTGAATTTTGACCCTGAGGTTTTAACATGCAAGAGTGATGAGACAAATAACTAATCGGTATATCAAGACTCTGCAAACCTGGAATGAACCAGGCACCAACATAAGGCTCTACAAGAACTTCATCTCCTGGAAATATATGTTCTGGGACCTCAGTTAAACATTGCTAGATTCCAGATCTTATTAGGAATCTGCTTGCAATTATGCACTGTCCCAATTTTATCTTCAGAATGGAATTAATTAGCCCAAAAACATTTGCATGTGTAATTTGTTTTTTTTTCTTCAGATACACTGTGATAACAAGCTATTCTTTTACATCATTAAGATAGAAACATATTATATTTTCATGCAAAGCAGAATCTGTTATTTTTGAAGTGTCTATTCCTCTTGTCTTAAATATATGCAAAAAGTAAATGTGTGTCAGACAGCAGGTCTTTGGAAGTCAAACTTTCAGCTCATGTTTCTGTGGATGGTTTCATCTGTAATGCATGGAAGTTGTTCTAGACCAAAGAATTCACAGGAGTTACAATTTCATTAACGCACTCACAGGAGGCTAGTTCCTATTTGAAATGGTGCTGGGCGTACAAATGGAAGGAGAAAAGGCTGGAAATTGTAACTGGCATTGGCATTTATGGTGCCATTTAAAACCAAAATTTTATAGATGATTTCTGTCTTTCGACCTTGGAGGCTCAGTAACTCATAACCATTTTTGAAAATGTATCCACCTTGATTAACCTCATTGTCTATAAAGTTATAGCCCATGAAACTGCCTCTTCTGACACTTTTTATTAGAGGAGATTATCATGAAAATATATTTTAAAGATGTTATTGATTTTAAAATGACAAAGAGGGGAAATATATCTAATTACCAAATATATATTCCCACTGTTTGATAATTGTAAGGAAATAGGATTTTATTGATTATTCTGCAGAAACTGGGTGGGTTTCTGACCTGAATTTACAAAGACTCACACCACTGACTTTTATTTTAAACGTCAGAAACAGGTCAAGTAGGTATTTTATATGTAGACATTTTTCAACTGATCAAATATCTTTATTAGATAGCTTTGACTCGACTCTACTTGCAATTTACTATTATGCTGAAGAATCTCAAAACTTCTCATGTTAGGAATTGCTTGAGGCTCAAAGAATAGCTTGTGTTGGAATTCTGTCTCTTTAAATCCCTGGTGAAGTTACTGAGAAGAACTTACTGATGTTCTCTGAGCCTCAGTTTTCTCTCTATAAAGTAGAGCTAGTAATGCAAAGCTCTTAGGGAAATGAGACAACATATACAGGTCCCTGTAGGATGATCATATGCAAAGAGCCTCGATAGTGGTGATTTTGGTTTTAACTTGGAGAGAATGATCATCAGGTTATATGATAGCTGTCTGTATATTTAAGAAATTATACATGTAAGTATAGTTAGGTCTTATCTGTTATCTTTAGGACAGACTTGGGACAGATTGGCACAAGTCACAGGGAAGTTTTAACTGTAACTACCTGATGCTATGGGCACTACAATGCCTATCATTAGACAGAGATCATCAGGCGGGGCTGGGCAAGCCCAGTAGTGGGTGTTGTGGTGTTCAGCATTAGTTGGAAATTTGGACCAAATTACCCATTAACCCCTTCTGTGTCAGCTTTTCTGAAATTCTCCAAGTCCTCAGACTTTCTATGTAAAGATCTCATCTCAAATTAGACCCAGGGCAGATGTTTCTGTCCTCTGATGTCTATAGAATAGACCTCCATGGATGGTTTGCTCTTCTGCTATCTTATTTGCATCTAATACATATCTGCCTCATTTGATCTATCTTTGGTATTCCAGCTCTGACTGATACCCACAGATCTCCCAGGTCAAGCACGCTCTACTCACAGTCCTTTCTGGCCATCCCAGCTTCCCTCCAACATGGACTCCCATCCTCTACCCGAAACATTGCCTTCCCTCTCATCTTCAGGCTTCCAGCTCCCTTCATGACCAGCTCCCTTCATGACCACAGATATCTGTTTTTGATGATCTTTTGTTCACTGAAGTTTATTTCACCTCTAGGAAAAGCTAACCTGAAGAAAACCTGAACTCCATTTTTTGAGCTAATTCTCAGTTATTTTATTATTTTAATTTTATATAAGACAGAGTATCACTATGTTGTCCCAGCTGACCTTGAACTTACTGTATAACTCAGGCTGGCTTTGAACACATGAACCTCAGCCTCCTGAGTCCAGGAATTACAGGTGTGTACCACCATGTTTAGCTTCAGAATTATTTCTTGATCTGCTGGATTCATTTAAGATGAGGTGCATGGGAAAGAGAGTGGGCTTTGCTTATAGACCCTGATTCAAATCTTACCTCTATTATTTATTACTGTGGAATGTTGGGTAAATCTCATCACATTTCTGGATTTGTCCTCATGTTACAAAACTACCTATTTCTCAAAGTGTGCCTGGGTTGGAAAAACTTACGTAAACTTTAACTTTGTGTAAATCTTGTGACATATATAGAAGTTCACTAAATGGCTGCTTCTAACACTCTCACCTTTGCTTGCCTTCCTCAACATCACCATTCTAAATGGTTCAGTCTCCAAAATCATTTTTTACCTCTCCATGTTTCTTTCAGAAGCTTTTTGAAAAATTCATGTGACCTGTGACATGAACAACTTATATCGAATTGTACTGTTTGCTGGAAACTTTCCCTGGTAAAGGCAGTACTGTTCTGCTTAAACTGACTAGTCTTCTGGTCTTATTTCTACAGAAGAAAAAAGGCAACCCACTGTGGTGTGAGCACAGTGAAGTATCCATTTCTCAAATGTCTTCCTTGCACATATGTCCTGGCTACCTGCAATTTGCTGCAGGCAGCATAACTGGCTTCCAAGAAGGTGGCTGAGTCCCTTTTTGGGTGCAAATGCACGAAGGGCCCACCTAATTCTTCCTCTGCTTGGTTGATATTCTGAATGAGAGAAGCAGTAACATGGTACAAAAAAGTGAGAATGAGGCCTTACTATCCCAGCCATGTGTTGCTATGCTCTTGGTGTGGTTTGTTCCTCAAGGGTGCATGTGATAGAAGTTTGGTCCCCCATGTAGTGGTATGAAGAACTCGTGGAAATTTTAAGAAAAGATGGTGACTAGTGGAAGATGGTCAGATTACTGGAGGCAGTGCACTCAGAAGAGATTAATGCTGCTTACTTGGAATGAGTTAGCTCTCGTGAGACTGAGTAGATATATAAGAGTAATCCTGGCCTCTTAGTCCTTCTCTTGCATTCTATATTGCTGTGTGATGTCATCTACAAGCACTGCCACCACTGGTTCTGAACCTCCACAACCAGGGCTCAATAAATCCTTTACTGTATACATTATTCAGCTTCAGGTATTTTGTTAGAATAACAGAAACCAGAATAAAACATGTTGTCTGAGAAAGTTACAGTTTTCTTACAACAAGAGTTAGCAAGCTACAGTATTTCCATTAAGACTCTGATAGTAAATATTTTAGGTTTTACTGGCCATGTGATCTTAGTTGTAGCTATTCAACTTTGCCTCCATATCTTGAAAGCAGCTGTAAGTGATAAGTAAATGAATGAATGTGTTTGTGTTCCAAGAAAACTTTACTTACAAAAAAC